AATACCCACTCCAGATAACTTGGGAGGTGAGGCCCTGGTGGGGGTTTTCAATGAGCCAAGGGGGCTGCATTCAGTGTGGAATGAGTGACAGCCAGCAGGTGGGTGTTAAAATGGTCATCAACTCCCCAAGGTGCTGGCACCACTGAGCTGCATTCCAGGCAGTGCCTATTAATGTGCTGGGAATGGCGCTGGGTGATTGACAAGCCGGTGAGTCCAGACTGGCTGAAACCACCCACGGGCACAGGGAAAGGAAAAGGGGGCCTAGAAAATGATCAATGATAGCCACTGCGATGTGTTGGCTTACTTTGCGCTGGAACTGGCCAAGGCTACACCAGGTGTATAAACACATCAAGCACAAGGTTTACGATGATAAGGCTGCAAGGGGGCGTGAACAGGCGCCTGGGGGAGTGGCCAAGAGCACGGCTCTGAGCCACCCAGCCTGGGCTCAAGTCCTGGCTCTGCAACTTACCAGCTGGTGACCTTATCCTCTCTGTGCCTCAGTTTCCTCAGTTTTTGTAAAAAATGGCAGGATAACAGTGGTACATAAATCTGAGAGCCATTGTGAGGACTAAATGAGTACATAGGTGTAAGGCATTTAGAATTGTGCCTGGGCTGAGCACAGTGGCTCATGCCTATAATTCCAACACTTTGGGAGGCTAGGATTCGAGATCAGCCTGGGCAACATAGCGAGACCCCATCTCCACAAAAAATAAAACAATTAACTGGGCATCATGGTGCCCAACTGTAGTCCCAGCTACTCAGGAGGCTGAGGCTGAAGCAGGAAGATCACTTGAGCCCAGGAGTTCGGGGCTACAGTGAGCTCTGATTGTGCTCCTACACTCCAGCCTGGGTGACAGACTGAGACCTTGTCTCTAAAAAAGAACAAATAAAATTAAAAATTAAAATTTAAAAAAATTGTGCTGGCACATAGTAAATAGTATTAATTTATCACCATAGTTCTCATTTTAAGATGAAGAAACTGAAGCTTACAGTAATTAAATAACCCACCTGAGTTTGGCTACTCTGAAGATCTTTGCCTTTGCTGCTCTGTGCCTGGAAGCCTCTCTTGCCCATCTTCCCGTGGCTGCCCCCTCAGGTGACTCACAAGTTGCTCAGGGACGGCCTCCAGACCACTGACCCCTCCCCTGCCCCAATCATTGTGGACCCAGCACCCCGCCTTGATCTTTCCTTGGCACTTATTACATCTGAAATTATCTTGTTCATTCAGCAAATGAACTATAAGAACACTATTATTATTATATGTTTGCTTGGTTGCTGTCTGTCCCCATAGGGGCAGGGCCCTCACTTGTCTTGTCCACCACATGACAGGAACTCAGGGCCAGCTTTATGGGTGTGTGGCCTGCACACTCGCCCAGGGCCCCGCACTCAGAAGGGGCTACATTTGCTTTAACGCTCTACTGTTACTGTCTTGAAATTCTTAACAATTTTTTTCAGAGACAAGGTCTCACTGTGTCACCCAGGCTGGAGTGCAGTGGTGTAATCACAGCTCACTACAGCCTCTGACTCCTGGGTTCAAAGCAGTCAAGCCATCCTCCTACACAGCTAAGACTACAGGTGTGCACCACCACATCCGGCTAATGTTTTAAATTTTTTGGAGAGATGGGGGTGTCTCGCCATATGGCCCAGGCTGGTCTCGAACTCCTGGGCTCAAGTGATCCTCTCGCCTCCAAGTAGCTGTGATTACAGGCGCAAGCCACCATGCCTGGCCTTAACAATTTTTTAACAAAGGCTTTACATTTTCATTTTGCACTGGGCACCAGAAAATTATACTGATAGAGTGATCAGGGCTATAGATCAGTGAGTGAATGAATGAATGAATGAATGAATGAGCAAGCCTACATTCCAACCAGGTCTGTCAGACTCCAAAACCCTACTACTTAACCACCATACCAAACAAGCTTCCATATGGAGGAAAAGAGGTGGGCAGGGCAGTCAGAACCAGGGACTATCACAGCCTGAGCGAGAAGCAGCTAGGGTACAGGGGAAGGGAGCACCTTAAGAGGAAGCATCTGTTTGCGCTTCCTCTGGAGCCCAGCGTTCTTCTCAACCTCTCATTGTCCTTGCACCTCAAGCGGCATGAAAACCATTTGCTGCCACCTAATGTTACTTTTTGGTTGCCTAAGACAGAGGGACCTTGGCCCTGCCTTCCAGGACAGATGTGGACCAGCCAGGTGCTCTTTAAAGTTACAGCTATGAGAGCACCTCAGGGTAGCCAGCACAGCCCTAGGTGCCTGGACTTTGATAATAGATACAATTCTTGTCCTTTGTACCTCAGGGCTGTCATCAAAACTACATGGCTATGAGGTGAGGATGGAGCAGGGAGAGACTGTTGGGCTGGGAACCTGGGGAGGTTAATCAGGGGAGCTTTCTGGAGGAGGTGCCCTTGGGCGCCTCATTTTCCACTCCCCCTGAACTCTCCTTACCTCAGGCGGGCATCACACATTCTGGTCCCCAGAGGTTTTCCTTCAGTGGTTTACTCTTAACATCTTCGGAACAGTTAAAGTCATTCCAGTTAAAATCACCCACTGATCTTTCCTCAAATTAAACTCCTCCCTCTCTTTCCCACTGCCACCCCAGGCCTGCCTCTGGTTGTTCTTGGAGCCATCCCTGATCTTCTCCCACTCTCCTCTGAACAGCAGACCTGTGTTTCTCCAAACTCTCTAGCATTGTCTAACACTTCAGTTAAAGCTCTTGTCATCTGTAACTTTATGTCCTGGTTATGTACACACTCCCAGACTTGGCTGTCAACTTCTTGAAGGCAGGACTCTCCTAGATTTACCTTTAAAATGTAGGTAGGGCAAGAAGGAAAAGGTTTGGAGGAAGCAAAGTTTTGTACACATTGGATGGTCTTGGCTAAATACAGGACAGTAGAGATACACTGAGGCTTCCTTATGAAAAATGCAGATGGTGGGACAGTCTTTTGAGAACAAAAATCAGTTCACATGGTGATGTAGCTAGAGACATATAAGAGAAGACTTGGTAAAACAAACACATTTTAACGGGAGAAAATATTTTGAAATCACATAGCGGTCAAGGAATTAATATCTGGAATATACAAAGAACTCCTAAAACTCAATAACAACAACAAAAAAAACCCGATTAAAAACAGGTAAAGGACTTGAACAAGTATTTCTCTGAAAATATACAAATGGCTAAGCACATAAAAAGATACTCAATATAACTAATCATTAGAGAAACACAACTCAAAGCTACATTGAGATACAGCTCTCACCCATTACGATGGTTACTATCAAAAAACCAGAAAATAACAAATGTCGGTAAGGATGCGGAGAAATTGGAACCCTTGTGCACTGGTGGTGGGAGTGTAAAATGGTGCAGCTGCTGTGGAAGACAGTACGGCAGTTCCTCAAAAAACTTAAAATAGAATTACCATATGATCCAGCAATTCCACTTCTGGGTATATACCAAAAGAGTTGAAAGCAAAGTCTTGAGATGTCTGTACATCCATGTTCATAGCAGCATTATTCACAAGAGCTAAAACATGGAGGCAACCTAAGTGTCTATCAATGGATGCATAAACAAAATGTAGCACATACATGCAACGGAGTATTACTCAGCCTTAAAAAGGAAGGAAATTCTGACATATACTACAAAATGAATGAACCTTGAGGTGAAGATATTATGCTAAGCAAAATAAGCCAGTCGCAAAAATATTGCAGGATTCCACTTACATGAGGTACCTAGAGTAATCAAAATCATACAGACAAAATAGAATGGTCGTTGCCAGGGGCTGGGGGGAGAGGGGGGAATGGGGATTTATTGTTTAATGAGTATAGAGTTTCAGTTTTACAAGAGTTAGGGAGATGGTGTGATGGCTGCACGATATTATTCAGTGCTATTTCATACCTATGAACTGTACACTTAAAAATGGCTGGCCGGGCACCGTGGCTCACTCCTGTAATCCCAGTACTTTGGGAGGCCGAGGCAGGCGGATCACCTGAGGTCAGGAGTTCCAGACCAGTCTGGCCAACATGGCAAAACGCCATCCCTACTAAAAATACAAAACATAGCCGGGCATGGTGGCGGGCCGCCTATAATCCTGGCTACTCCGGAGGCTGAGACAGGAGAATCACTTGAACCCCGGAGGCAGAGGTTGCGCCATTCCCCGCACTCCAGTCTGGGTGATAGAGCAAGACTCTATCTCAAAAAAAAAAAGGTTAAGGCCAGGTGTGGTGGCTCACACCTGTAATCCCAGCACTTTGGGAGGCCAAGGTGGGAGGATCACTTGAGCCCAGGAGTTTGAGATCAGCATGGGCCACATAGCAAGACCTTGTCTAAAACAAAATGGTTAAGATAGTAAATTTTGTTATGCGTATTTTACCACAATACAAAATTAATAAATTGTAAAAAAAAAAAAAAAAAAAAAAAAAAAAAACAGTTTTTCTGAATCAACCCAGTTCGCATTGCTCATTCTAGAAAACCTGGGCCTCCCAGAGAAAAATGTTTGGCTTATGAGGGGTAGGAAGGGGGGAACAGAAGGGATACTAGCAGGGACTGGGCAGAGAGGAACAAGAACTAGGAAGCACTAAAGAAGGAACTGCGGCAGAGTACCAAGGGATAGTGACAGGTACAGGGGCACACACGAACAACGTTCAAACACATCTTCATCCAGTAACCTGTATTTACATGCAAATGTATTGGTTTATGCAAAACAGCGGAGGCCTCGGAGGAGGGTTTTTTAGTCTCAAGCTTGTGCAGTCATTGAAAAAGAGAAGCAAAGCTGTCCCTCAGGTACTCCACGTCCGCCTTGCCCCTGGGAGCTGGGCCGGTTCCAGGAGGAGGACGACTGAATTAGCTCGCTTTGCAGAGAAAGGCCAGCAGCGCCCCTACCCGGAGAGCAACTGGGCGCCTGCAAAGTCGCGCATGCCCACTTCGGCCTCCCGCCCCACTCCTAAGGCGGCGAGACTTAGTGCGCAAGTACCATCCATTGGCGGCGACTCCTCCCCCTAAGGCGGGAACACACGGGGCCCAAAATGGCGGCCAGCCGGTACCGGCGTTTTCTTAAGCTCTGTGAGGAATGGCCAGTGGACGAGACCAAACGGGGCCGGGACTTGGGCGCTTACCTGCGACAGCGGGTAGCACAGGCCTTTCGGGAGGGAGAGAATACCCAGGTGACCGGCGGGGAGGCGGCTGGGACGAGGGGAGGAAAGGACGAGGCAGGGGCGGGGCCAACCAGCGCGCTAGCAGCGGGATCTGCGCATGCGCGCGTCCTCCTTCCAGGCCGCACGTGAGCGCAGACCCCCGTTTCTCCCCAGGGAGCTACTGAGAGCTACGCCCTTTCTACTCAGCGCTCTCCCCTCGCTGCACCTTGGAATTGCCGAGGAAGCTTTTTTAAAACTCCAGATGGGCCGGACGCGGTGGTTCACACCTATAATCCCAGCACTCTGAGAGGCGGAGGCGGGAGGATCGCTTGAGCCCAGGAGGTCAGCCTGGGCAACATAGTGGGACTCCGTCTCCGCAAATCAAAAAACAAACAAAAACTTAAGATACAGAATCTCTAGGGGTGGGATCTTGACCTCAGTGTTTTAAAAGCTCTCCAGGTGATTCAAGGTGCAGACAGTTGAGATCCACAACACCAGTGGCAGCTGGTGACAGCCTCAGCTTTTTGCTCCCGTGTCACGGTAACGTTACCTCATTATCTCGCAGTGTTGTGTATTGACTGAGCTAATCCCCAGTAAACTCTGCAGGTCCCAGCTAAGCGTTTGCGTTCTTCCTGAGCCCTGTAAGCCTGTGCAGCAGGTTTGGGTCCTCAGCTCACGTAGCTGTGTGTGAGTAGTAGGCCTACGTTCTTGCTGTCCTCCAGGTTGGCGCTGCAGCTCTGCGATTCATTCGTTCATATAGCTCGTATTTATTGAGCACCTACCATATGCCTGGAGCGGTGCTAGGGAAACAGCAGTGTTAAACAGGTGAAGTCCTGCCCGCATGAAGTTTTACATTGTAGTTCAGGACACAATAAACAAGTAGGTCTACATAAGACAGATAAGTACTGTGATCAATAGAAAATAGGATAGCATGATAAAAGAGTAATGTTATTAGTCGGGTCTTTCTGAGGAGATGACACATAGGTAAGACCTAAGGCAAGAGGATAAGCCAGCCATGTACACTTGGCGGGAAGGACATTCCAGACACTGCGCATGCCCAAAGGCAGGAGGCAGATTGACATGTTCCAGGACAGAAAGAAAGCCAGAATGGCTGCAGGGTAATAAGTAAGGTGGAGTTTGCTAAGGTGGAGGTCAGGAGCCAGGCACAGTAGGATATTATCTGCTCTGATTAGCTGTTAGACCTCATTGTAAGGCCAGTGAGAAGTCACTGGGGATGTTTAGTGAGGGGACTGGCGTGCCCCAATTTACTTTTTTTAAGACTATTCTGGTTCTGTGTGGTGAGTGGGCTATAGGGGGCAATAACAAAAAAGCAAGGAGGCTGGAGAGAAGCCGATTATGGTACTATAAGCGAGCGATGGTGGGGGGTTGGATGAGGATGGCAGCACAGAAGATGGGAGTGGCTGGATTCAGGTTATGCGCAGGTTGAGTCAGCAGGACTTGCTGATATGTGGGATGTGGGATAAAGGAAAAGAGAGGAACCAAAGATAGCACCTAGATTTTTTTTGGCCTGAGCGTCTAGGTCTAAGATGGTGCCATTTACTGAGGCAGGAATAGGTGAAGTGTAGGAAGAATATCTTGAGTTCGGTGTTAAGCAGGTTAAACCTGAGATGCCAAGTACACTGATTTCCTAGTGGCAATGTCAAGTAGGCGTGCTATATTTGAGCTTGGGGCTCGAGCAAGAGACCAGAAATGAAACGAGATACATACACACACAGTCTGAAGAAATGACTTGCAAAACTTGGCCAAGACCTGTCAAAGAAGGAACATGGCCTTTTTTTTTTTTTTTTTTTTTTTTTTTTTGCTTAGCCCAAAACAGAGCCAAGCCAGCCCACCTAAAGGAGCAGGAGCATGCCCAGTGGCATCATTGTGACTGGACTGCTGATTGGCTGACAGCCTGGGGAGTGTCTGGCCCAGGTTATACTATACCCAGGGCCCTCCCATTGTTCATGGTGGTCTTCACTGGCCCAAAGTGGCAAGATCTTTAAGGCAAGAATCTTATCTAGTCCCAATTCTACAAACCCCGTGAGCTTCCTAAAGCTGTACTCCCTGCATGTTTTTAGTATTAGCTTCCTGAAAAGAGAGATGATGCCATTTTTATCTTTCCCCCTCTCCCCTATCAGTGTCTAGCATAGTTCTTGGCCCATAAAAAACACTCAGTAAATGTCTGAATGGATAAGTAAATAATTGGTTGTGGCTCATGAGACAATTGTCTGAATATAGTTTCAGATGTAGCAGAACTAGACAAAGAGAAGTTGTGAAGAGTGAGAAAGGAATATATGTGTGTTCTGAGTGGGGAGAATTGATTTGAGAGCTTACCATGTTTGGGGAATTTCAGGATCTATGGAAGAAGGCCATAAGCTGGCCCTCACCACCAAGGAGCTTACAGTTGGGCAGTCAGAGGCTCCATCTTTGGGGAGGTGAGAGAGCATTACATTCACTTGCTTGATTGTTAGTGTAAGAGGAGCCAGCAAAGGAGGAAAGAGTTTTCTCTTTTGGAGTTGTTATCACCTAGGGAAATTGTTCCTGAGCAGTCAAAGGCCCACACAGGTTTGAGTCCCAGCTGCAGATGCAAGTCATGGCTCTGTTGATGATTCTGTAGCAGCTGATGAATGCATTCCTGGTAGAGTGAACCAGTGCATCACGATGGCAGCAGGAGCATTACTCAGGACCACTGTTGTGGTACCTCATCCTGATGTCACCTGAGAATGCACCTGGGCTTAGTAAATCTTTGTGGTAATTTTTGAAGGGCGCAATTCCTTGCTGGAATTGAAAACACTACTGTGAGTCACTCCTACTGACACCCCCAGATCATGTATAAAGACCTTGAGAAAGCAAGGTGATTCTGGTAGGCTGTTCATTAAACTGGCAGCAGGAGGTGGGGATTAGATCCAGTTGACTGACTAGTATGGAGCTCCTCCTTGGTTATGCCGGTTGCCAGAAGACAGGACTGGAGGGGAAAGTAGCTCTGTTCAGGCCATCTTTCCATTCCTGTAGAGGAGAGAGGCAGTCAGTCCTCCTCTCAGCCTCTTGGCTTCCTTCGTCCTAATGATCACCCTGAAAGGTGCACAGCACACCTTTGCCGGCATGATCTCATTTAATCCTTAGTGCAGCTGAGTGGTAACCATTACTGTTCCCATTTTACAGATGAGGAAACGAATCAGAAAAACAAGACAACTCTCTGGGGGTTCTCTAGCCGTAAGAGACAAGCCAAGTGAGAAACATACCCAGCCCTCCTGGCCCTAGTGTGCATCGTCTCCTGGGTGCCTGGCCTTTCCTCAGCTGCTGTTCCAAGTTATTGTTAGAACAACCTGAACAACCTCTTTTTCCGTGAACATCACACCACTTCCTTCCCCTGGTTGCCTGTTCAAACCTTTTTGGGCCATAGATAGTTTGGGCAGCAAATGGAACTCCCTGTGTTTACCCATCTATTCTTTGCCCCAGCCACTACCAGTCCAGATGGGAAGAAAGATGGTCCTGGGTGGGACACCAAGCAGAGAAAAGCTGGGTTAACTTAAGGGCAAATTAATAATTCATACTCAAAACCAGAGTACAAAAACCACTGCCTCCATTTATTCCACCTCAAATTGCCCTCTGGGGAGTCTCGTGGTCCACCCTAAACCCACCAAGCAGGGAGGTGGTGGTGGGAGCAGGAACACACCTAACTCCTCTTACACCCCATATCCTATTGTGTAGTTTTAAAAAGTCAGTGTTTATGGGCTTTGCCCCTTTTGAATACAGTTTGTCTAAGAACACGTGTTTCCTACAGCGCTGAGAGCTTAATAAAAGAATTGCAACATGGGGGAAGGTGGCACAACAACTGTAATTGTTGACTTAACAACAGGGAAAGGAGCAGATCTTTCTAATGAGTTCATTAGGTGCTTCCTAAAAGATCCCAGACTGCACACCAGCACCCACTTATGTAGCATGAGTTGCAACTCCGAGGGGTGGCCTGGAAGAGCTGCTGCCCAGGAAGGGGCTCGCCCACCAGGGAGTTCTAATTGTATTGTATCCAAGTTTAAGTATAATAATATTGGCCCAGTTTGAAAGAAGTTAAACTTTTTCTTGAGTTTCTAATAATGTAAATGATATTTCCAGCTTCTCAGAGGATAATTCAAAGGTTTTTTTTATGATTCTGTTTTGTCAGTCATCCAGTTGAGGCCTGATCCTTGGCATTCCTCAGTGTGGCAGGGAGCTAGCTCCCAAGCCACCTGGCATATGCTGGCCACGGTGAAGCCATGTCAACGTTGCTCACCCCCACTTGTGAGCCCCCTGAAGTCATGTTTTTGAAGAGTGTCCTAAGAGCAGATTATCCTATTTTTAGTTACATATTGAGCCCATCTACAACCTGGAGTTGTAAGGAGAATCATCTCTAAGAGGGAATGCAAACATCTCCATCTTTTTTTCTCTTCCAATTCTGAATGGCGCCAGTGTGAGCTAGGGTAGTATTCACACCAAGGGGTGGCGTTTATCTCTGCATATGTAAAACTGCAGTCCTCCTGCTGAAGGGATAAATTCTTAGCCACTTTTGGTGGGTCACTACTTTATTCAAAGATCTCTGGGGTCTGCCTGTTGCCTCCTGGACAGGTGGCAGGCAATTTTGTGAGACCTGCAGTGCCTCTGATCCTTGGTCCCAGCCTGTGTTTCCAGCCTTGCCTCTCACCACCCCAACACGAGCCCCAGGCTCAGCAAGGGTGTCTTCTCATGGTCTCCCAAACTGTCCATGGTACAAGCGATTCTGATCCTTTGAGACTTAAGTGCACTGTGGATCACCGTACCCCTACAACCTCCAAAAACCCAAACACAGAGTTGTCAAGAATTTGGTGGCTTCCCAGGCTCTTGGAGCCCTCCCTGGGTTCCCCTTAAAAGTTCTGCCTGCCTAAAACACCCTTGTCCTGTGCCTCTTCATGCTTCATCCTCCCAGTCATTTCTGGTCCCTGTGTCACTCATGCCCAGGTCGGCACTCCTCACTCTGTGCACTGTCGCTGCAGTGAAACTTAGCCCTTCCTTGCCATACCTCCCTGTCAGCACAGCCTGGTGCCCAGCTCCCACCTCGGGTCTCCTGCAGCGGCCCGTGCTTCACAGCTCTGGCTCTCACTTGCATGCTGCCCCGGGCAGGGTTGGTTTCTAATTCATGTGTATCTTGTCTCTGCAGTGTGCCTGCCAGCTTCTCCACAGCCGGCCTGGGTCGTCTTCTTTATGGCCCCTCACAGTCCCCTGGTGGGGCACTCTCTCTATAGTAGGTGCTCAAGAAATACATTTTCAACTCAATTGAAGGGAATAGGCTCCCATAACAGAATGAACTCATTTCAGAAGTTGATTACCAAGTCTTGAAAGCCTTTTTTTATAGATCCTCCTGGACTGAATCCAGCTCTACCTTAATTAGCAAAGCAATTTGCAACACCCTTTCCCAAAAGTGCTTATGCGTCCCTTTGTGTGACTAGAATAGGGGCCGCTGTACCAATTGCTGTCACCACCCAAAATTCAATTTGGAAAATCGAAATCAGTGCCTGCGGCACCGATGTAGATTTGTATGTATAAAAGTTTAATATGGTAAAGAGAAATTTACTGACGACTGAGCAGGGGAAATGCAAAAGGAGCAAAAATAGAGCTATAAAGGACACTCGTCAGATGAACATCTATTTTATTCATATTTGGGGAGCAGTGCTGAATTTTTCATAATGTCCCCACTGCTGCCTTTTTCAAACCCAGCACTGCTATTAGTCCTAAAACGTCCATGATCTCATTAGGTATGAATGCAAAATCAGCTAATTTAAAGCTTGTATTAAGAATATTTCTAAAAGTGCACAGTCCATTTCATCAGAAAAACTGCATTTCAGAACTCAGGAATGTTAGTGCTGGAGTCTGTGAATAAAGTGTAAGCTATAGGAACGTGGTGAGGCTTCTGGAATTTGACAGATGTCTCCACTGACATCCTTTTAAGGATGACTTTTTTAATTGCTGAGCTTGAGTTATCTGTGGCTAGGAACCCAGCATTGATCAAGGCTTCATCACTCCTCAGGCAGTAAGAACTTGCTAGAAATGGGTATATCTCAAACTCCTGTCACCTCCACTGAGCTGCTTTTACAGCCTCAGACACCTTCTGACCTCAAACAGGAAACTGGGTAGCAAGTCTGTTTTAGGACTCAGGTGTTTGATTTTCTTTCTCGCATTACAATTGAGTCCAGGACTTCTGGGAACTCTCTAGGAGACTGTCTCTTTCACACAGAGGAAGCTTAAGAAGTGAGAGTACCTGAGCGTCACTTTGCTTTTTGCACTTAGACTTTGTGCACTTTGCTCTTACAGGAGCAGCACTCTGCAAGGGTGACCCGTCCCTTGTACCCCTCCTGTCTGTCCTGCTGCCCATCAGAGATGGGACTAGGTGGCAAGGAAGGACAGCACTTTATAGCACACCTGCTTGAGGGTATGATACAAGGTTGCTGAGCAGCCTACTGGTGACTTCTCACTGCTAGAGAGTTGGAGCAGGAACTTGAGTTGACAAGGTGTTTGAGGGTGAGGATCTGGTTGGAATGCAGGTTTATCAGGAAGCAGTGTTAGAAGCCCAGGAGAGAGGCAGAGGCTATGGGAGGAATGCAAATCAGCGTGTGGACTCCTTTCCTAAGAGCTTAGTTGGGAAGGTGGTGGGGATGGTGGCAGGATGGGAGGGTCCAGATAAGCGGCCATCAGGTGAAGACCGGGTACAGCAGACAACTGCTCTCTTGGCAGACCATGGAGTGCTCAGTGACCGCTGAGAGCCACCAGCGTCAGTCAGGAGTGAAGCCTCAGCAGTTTCTCATCCGTCCTCACTTCCGTTTCCAGCGCCATCATCTGCAGTGCACACCAGCCATGCTGATCCACTGATAACATGCTGACCCATTCCCTGGGCACGGGCTCCACCTGGTCCTGTGCCTGGAGCGCCCCCACTCCCTTGCTGGTACATGTACCCATCCTCAGCCGCTCATTCTCCAGCACTTCCTGCCTGGCCCCGCAGGCCCATAGCACCTCGTACATGCCCCTTCGTTCCACTCTCACCAGGGTGGTCCTAAACCGTTCTGTCCTTTCCCCTCTTACTTTGTGAGACAGGGGCCTGTGTTTACTACAACTCTTTACTACTAATAACTGTAAGAAAAACTAATCACTCACATTTATCGGTGTTCCAGGCCTGGAATTCAGAGCAGCCCAAGCATTACCTCATTTATCCTCACACCACCCTGGGAAGTAGGGGCTATTATTATATTTTCTTTTAAAAGAAAGGTTAAGTTGGCCAGTATGCTTCAAAAATGTTCAATGCATGAAAGACAAAGGCCGAGGAACTGTCCCGGATTAAAAGAGACTAAAAGATACATGACTGTTACATGCAGCAGGACATCCTGTTTTTCCTTAGATTATTATTGAGACAATTGACAGAATTGGAATATGGACTGTGCATTAGATAATAATGTTGTATCGATGTTAAGTGGCCTGAATTTGATCACTGAACTGTGGTTATATAAGAGAATGTTCTTCTTAGGAAATGCACAATGAAATACTATGGGGTGAAGGGGCATTATGCTCCTACTTTCAAGTGGATCAGAAGAAAGATACGTATGTACAGATACAGAGAAAGATAAACTGGCAACTTTTTTTTTTTTAAGTGTGTTTCATGGGGGAAGAGTGAATGGTTTGCCTGACATCACATAGCTGATAAGGGATGGTGCCAGGATTCAACCCAGACAGTTTGGCTCCACTGCTCCCTACAGCCTTGGAGGTACTCATTCACCCAAGCATCCCCTGCTCATGGATGGGCCAAGCATGCTCTAGGGTCTCAGTGAATGCCTGTTAAATTTATAAGTGAGCACACTTTGGGAGGCTGAGGCGGGCAAATCACAAGGTCAGGAGTTCGAGACCAGCCTGGCCAACATGGTGAAAGCCTGTCTCTTCTAAAAATACACAAAATTAACTGCACCAGTGGTGGGTGCCTGTAATCCTAGCTACTTGGGAGGCTGAGGCAGGAGAATCACTTGAACCCGGGAGGCGGAGGTTGCAGTGAGCTGAGATCGCGCCACTGCACTCCAGCGTTAGCTTTTGGCTATGCATGCCCTGCTGAAGAAATATTCCAGATGTGTTCGTCCAGATGTGTGCAGAAGTCCATTCTAGTGGGACTTTCCCTGGAAGAGCTGTCAGGCAGCAGGGAGGCACCAGCCTCATCCTTTTCCATTCATTCTGTCCACTCAGATAATGACTTTGATTATTATTCAGCAAACACTGGCCACCTCTTCAGGCCATAATCCTTCCTCTTCTGATGTATCTAGCTGTTCTCATGATGAGTAGCCTGAACCCAGGAATGGGTCAGGTAGAACTAAATGATGGATTGTCTTTTTTGTTTGCTGTAAAGTAGGGACCTCATTTGACATGCACAGAGAGGCAGCAGTGGAGCTGCCTATTAAACTCCTTTACTACTGATTTATTTATGCTCTGCCTTCTCCAAGGAAGGATTTAAGTTAGGAAAAAATCCATCATTTGAATTTTGGGGGAAAAAAATGTAAAAGAGAAAGTTTTGTTCTGGGGAGCTTTTCAAAATTCTTGGCAGAAAAATTTAAAGAATTATACATAAGTAATAGCAAGGACAGAGTAAAGGGAAAGTTCGAACTAGAGGGAAGAGACCACGCCTCCTCTGTCTGCTGCCTGTCTTCCTGACCACGCCTCCTCTGTATGCCGCCTGTCTTCCTGACCACGCCTCCTCTGTATGCTGTCTGTCTTCCTGACCACACCTCCTCTGTATGCTGCGTCTTCCAGAGAATGCCCATCGGGGCATCGCTGTCTCTGGCACCAGAGAATTTACTTATATCCCCCTTTCTATGGCAACGCCTCAGGGTTCTGAGCCATCTCCTTTCTAGCAGGACCTAACTGTGGTCCCATCTTGGTTCTCCTCAGTTTACCCATTTTATCTTAAATGTTGCTGCCTTCATGTTTCTTCCCTTCTTGTAGAGTTTCAGCAGCTCCCCACTTATCACAGATGAAAACTCAGGTGATTTTTTTTTTTTTTTTTTTTTTTTTTTGCCTTTGCTAAAAGATTCTGTTGGTCTGAGGCTGGGCATGGTGGCTCACGCCTATAACCCCAGCACTGGGAGGCTGAGGCAGGCAGATCACTTGAGGTCAGGAGTTCGAAACCAGCCTGGCCAACATGGTGAAACCCTGTCTCTACTAAAAAATACAAAAATTAGCTGAGTGTGGTGGCACATGCCTTTAATCCCAGCTACTCAGGAGGCTGAGGCTGGAGAATTACTTGAACCCAGGAGGCGGAGGTTGCAGTGAGCCAAGATTGTGCCACTGCACTCTAGCCTGGGCAGTAGAGTAAGACTCTGTCTCAAAAAAAGAAAAAAGAAAAAAAGAATCTACTGGTCTGGCCTGAAGCATCGCAGAGGATTCCTGCCTCCTCCTCCTTGCTGACAGCATCTCCTCCCCCAGGAAGGCCTGCCCTTCTCCCTTCTGCCCGCTGACCCCTGTGCTTCTTTCAGAACCTAGCGTCGTCTCACTTCCATCATGCACTGACCGCTTGAACATGTGGGGACTCCCCCACTGAGTCCCTGTAGCCCACTCTGCCCAGCACCCCCTTTGTTAGGCACGCCTTTCCAACCTTACATTTCTATTGTGGCATCTCTCACTGCAGCTGGTGTCGTGGCTCACAAGTCACAGATGCTCCACAAATGCTTGTTTGCTGATTAATCTGATTTTTCTGCAGGTTGGGGAGTTGATGAGGCAGAGCTATGCCTCCAAAAAGTAGTTTCTAATAGCAGAGCTATAGTCCAGGTTTGCTTCCCGCAGAGTGGAGAAGCCAGTGCTAGCTGCAGGCCTGCTTCATGTGAATGCCTTATTAAGTATGGTCTTTCCTCGAGGTACAGACACTGTGGGAGGCAGGACTCCTTTGCTCACCTCCTTGGGGGTTCTTTGCTTTTCAGGTTGCAGAGCCTGAGGCCTGTGATCAGATGTACGAGAGCTTAGCGCGACTCCATTCAAACTACTACAAACACAAGGTGAGTGGGCCACAGTCTTTTATATCCCCAGCTTTCTGACAGGACAACTAATAAGAATGAGTGAAAATCTGATTATGTAATGTTTTGTAAAGAATTGGCTTTGCTGCTTTCAAATGAAACCAGTAATTTCAACCAAGCCAACAGAGGTGCCTGGTAGAGGCTTTTACACCACCTAAATAAAGCTGTTTAAAATTGTGAATACAGGGAAAAGGGAAGAAACAAAGAAAACCAATTATGAATAGAAGCCATGTATTTGATATGCCAGTGTGTGCTCCTGGGAGTGTCTGACAGCCATTGGATTTATACCAATTTTCCCATTCACTCTGTTGGAACTGACACCTCCCCACACTCTGGTGATAAAGGTGGGATGATTGGGAAAGTGCCGTCCTTTCCGGAGCTAGGCCCCAACATGATTACTGTCAAATTCCATTTAGAGTGGTTTTTCCCATACTTGAAAAATGTGGTCAGTAACTCCACAAATGTGGCCATATGCCTATGTGGAAGATGGATTTTTTCTAAATCCTCCCTACTAACATGTGATCCATGAGCAGCAGCATGGGCATCACCTGGGAGCTGGTTAGAAAAGCAAATCAGGGCCCCCACCCATACCTGCGTTTTCCAGGGAGGACTCATGGGTACATTAAAGTTGGAGCTGCCTGCTGGAGACTGTACTGGTTCTTGTGAGGCCAAGTCTTAACCTCAAGGTGGCGCTGCTCTTCTTGCTAGGCCTGGCCTCTGGTTGCCTAGGGTCCAGATGAAATGCAGTCAGAGAGCAGGGCTTGTGGACTGATCTCTCTCCTCCCTTCACTTCCTTTCTGCCCCGGTGACCAGTACCCTCGCCCCAGAGACACCAGCTTCAGTGGCCTGTCGTTGGAAGAGTACAAGCTGATCCTGTCCACAGGTAATGAAAGCACAGCTGCCTTTTCTCATTGGTTTGCAAATGACTCTGAGTTTGAGTGGCCAAGGGGAATTGTCTAAGAAGGCAGCTTTGCTTGATGGAAAGTCTTGTAGAACAGCCTAGAGGAAATTCTGAAGCTACAGGGCTCATGCATTTTGACCATATACTGTGGAGAAGGTCAAAGGCGTTGTTTAAAAAAGAAAATCTATCTTTAGTGCTTTTAAATTCAAGGCTGGGCAGCAGGGAACAGGGGAATACATATTTGCCAAATGGAAGTAGTTGAAATCAGGATGGAAGGAAAATTATTTTATTTTTATGGTCCTAAGGGGGCTTTATAAACAATGAAGGTTTTAATTAAAACAAAAAGCCATTCAATAAACGTGTTTGGGGATATCCGCCTAAGAGTTATCTGACCCAGGGGACGTGGTCTGTGGGTTAGATATGAGTTGAACTAGGTATGTTTTAGAGTCATTGATAGACTCTGATTAACAAGAAAGGAAACATCCTGCCAAGCCTGTCCTTTCCTTAATTCCCTATCTCCATTGTCCCTAAGGAGGGGGGCCGGAGAGCCAGGGCTGAAGTAGGCAGGTACTGGAAAATTACTATTTTTGTTGCCAAGTATATTATATACAAAAATAGGCTAACCTTTTCTGGAAGGGCATGGCCCTGACACATTTCCTTCTGGTATTCTAGAAATATGTCTTTCCTCTTCTTCTGGCAGCCTTCAGCAACTTAGTTTTGAGGATTTGGGCTTCTAGAAAACCATCTTCTGAGATTAAAACCTGGTGGTGTCACCTGCTATTACATGTCAACTCTAACCCTGTTTTTATTCCAGTACTCTCTGGGAAAATGGGTGAAGATATTTTGGCCAGGCAAAATCACTTTATTGGCGATTTTTTTAATGTGTAAATTTACTCTTCTATCCCTGGGTCTGTGTAATTAGCAGCATTGATGCACATTATCGTGAGGGCCCTGGACAGTTTGAGCAAAGTTTGAACTTGAAGTGAGGGTGGAAATAAGTTCCAGAGGCCCTGCTTCTGCCCTCTATGTTGTTCACCTCAGGGCAGCCTCTGCAAGTGGAAAACAGGCAGCAACGAAGGCTAGGAGATAGTCCCGCCATTGGTCCACGCTGCAGCTTGTTCTGGCTGCAAGTTTAGTTCCAGGAAATTTGCTGAGAATTTGTTTTCACAGCAAGCCTCGTATTTTTGTTGCAAATTGTGTGGCGTAAGCTTACCAAATGTTTCCTCTGACAGGACAAGAAAAGACCTGCAGCACCTTGTAGCGAGAGGCTTTGAGGGCCTGGCGAGTCTGAAATGTGCTGTGTTCTGGGTCACGTGTGTGTCCACCCTGGGACTGGTGTCATGGAAAGCGCCTTAGGGAGGCCTCAGGGCTTGGAGATGGACAGTGTCCCTCAATGTCCACCTGGACACTGGAAACGTGGACTTCCGGAAAAGCGCCAGAGCAGGGGCTTTTTTCTGTCACCTTTCTTGGTCAGAAAAGACACCCTTTTCTCCGGTAGTTTTGTTAACGTGAAAATTCAGGCCAGGCAAGCAAAACAATATTATAAGAATATCTAAAATTTAACATATACGTAAAATTAGATTTCATGGAACATTAGCCCTAGAGACTTCAGAAAAATGGTTCTGTGCTGGGGGTGATTTTGCCTCCCAGGGGACATGTGGCAATCTCTGGAGACATTTTTAGTTGTCACAACTGGTGGTGGGGGCAGCGGTGCTACTGGCATTAGTGGGTAGAGGCCGGGATGCTTCAAAACAGCCTTCGATGATGCACAGGCCAGCCCACAACGAAAAATTATCTGGCCCAAAGTGTTGGTAGTGCCAAGGCCAAGAAACCCTGCTTTGGTTCCTGGGTGTGGGGACGTGTATTTTCTTAAACAAAAGCCCCTCCCACCCGCACTGTGGTGGAGATGGCTGCCTTTTCATTGAGTGCAGGCTGTGTGCCAAGCAAGTTACTTCCATGATTTTCTTTAATCCTTACAACTTTGGAGGTACATGTTTTTTTTTTCTTTCTTTCTTTTTCACCTCTCCCCAAGTTGTCTGCAGATGTGTGTTTTTATCTTCATTTTACAGATGAGGAACCCGAAGTATAGAGGGTTGAGTAATGTGCTTGAGGGGACCCACAGTGGGAGGGGACCCACAGTGGGAGACAATGGGCTGGGATTCAGGCCTAAGTCCATCCCTCTCTCAGTGCCTGCTTAATTCCACAGCATGTGCTGGACCTGCACGCCAGGATTCAAATCCCTGCTCCACTTCCCAGCTGTGCAAACTGAGCAAGTTACTTCACCGCCTCCTGCCTCAGTTTCCACACCTGAAAATGAGACAGGCCTGTGTGGAGCAGGCCAAATTTTGCGATGGACCATCTGGGCCTGTGGGTTGCACAGCAGACAGCGCAGGGCCATTTCTTTGCCCTCGTATGGAGCAGGGCAACGAGCAGCACACCCTGCTTTGATGCCAAGGGTGAGGAGAGGGCAAGAAACCACTGAGAGCGTGCTGGGCACGCAGCGTGGCACACAGTGCTCAGTCACCACGAGTGGTCACTTCTGTTACCCTGTTTGATCTGCTCCTCAGAAGCTGGGTCTACACTTCCCTTTTTCAGGAACACACTGTGTGAAAAGCAAGGCATGCTTGTGTCGGGAAAGCCCCATGGGTCCAATCTGCGTCATCAAGTTTTAGACTTGTCTCTCTCTTTTTGTCTTTCCCTTTTGCAGACACCTTGGAAGAGCTTAAGGAAATGGATAAAAGCATGTGGAAGAAACTGCAGGAGAAGTTTTCCTCCAAGGGTCCTGAGGAGGATCATAAGGCCTGAGCTCAGGCCTTACCTCGCCCACGTATCTAGGTGTGGAGTCTTGTACATTGCCATCGTCAATAAAACTGCCCCAGTTTCCCCATGACCTTATGGTTTGGGAATCTCCTCTAGCCTTCCCAGAAAGGAAGGCTCTAAAGAAAGTTTCAGCCTCAGAAGGGATGGTGATTGGGCTGTCTGCTGTCACTGCTGCTCAGGGGAGGGAAATCTCCTGGGGAGAGGAAATGCAGGTTTCCCTCTGGGCCTGACAAGGGAAGGTAATGGGGCCTCCGCACAAGGTGCTTCCTGCAGGACCACAGGAGCCCTCGCCCCTCCAGCAGGGGTCTGGTGCCTCCTGGCAAGATACTCGGGCTCCCTTTTGTTGTAGGAGCTCCTGGGAGGAAGCCAAAAATAGCAGTGAATACTGAAAAGGGCATCCTGTTGCAAACAGAAAGCATCAGGGAAGTGTGAGGCCCAGAGAGGCAAAAAGCCTGCTTGGCCCTCATCCCCACTGACTCAGAGGACGAACCTCAGGCCTCTGTCCCTGACCTTGCAAAAACCCACACTGCCCAGTTGGCTTAAGGGACAGGGAAGCTATAGACAGGCCTTGGCCAGGCGGGGCCTCAGCTGCAGTTGGCTTCAGCATTGTGGGCAGGTTCTGTAGGTGGCCACAAGTCAGAGGCCCTGCTGGCTGAGGACACACACAGGGTCACCTCATTATTCCATGGAACTTTGGCTCTTACTGATAGACACATTCACTTTCCTAGTTGAGCATTCTTCTGTCTGGAACCGTGAGGGACCAGGCTGGGCCCACAGCGCCCCTGGTGGGTACAAACTAGAAGTGGGTTCTCAACCTCGTCTGTGTCTAGACTCCTCAGGATGTTCTGAAATGCATAAAATAAAATCGACAGGACTGCAGTAGAAACTAGTTATGCCTAAATGCAGTTCTGGGTAGGGAGATCTCAGGGGAGGACCCGAGACACGATGTCACTCAGTGCATCTCCCGAGAGCCTGAGGAGAGGCCAGGCCAGCAGGGAGGGACTCTTGTTCCTGTCTTCTGCCAGTGTGTCCTGTTAATCCCCACAGCCCCCAAGGGAGTGCAGGAAACACAACCCTTTTTAACGGACTAGACTTCTATTAATTTATTTAAGGCAATTAACATATTAGTTCTCAGGCCAAAGGATTTGTAAAACATTACACCAAAAGGAGAAAAACAAGCGGTCATGAAACAGCCATGCGAACGCCGCTCAGCCCTTGTTTGCCTGGGCATACAACTCTCCCCCAGGAAGCCTGGGAAGAGGCAGGTCCCAGGAGCAAGATCGTCCATCATGGAGTCATCAGGCCACCTACAGCCATGCCAGGGTGGCATGGACACGACAGTGAGGTCTGCACTGGCTACAGCAGATCTGAGGCACGGAGGGAGCTGTACAGCCATGGGCAGGGCTGAGCACAGCACCCTTGGAATAAGTTAAATAACAAAGCCCTAAAATCACTAGTAACAGCATTACTGCCACCTCCCCCAGAGGCTGGCAGCAGCCAAAATGTAGTGCTTGGAGATAAAGGGGTGACCCCACTTTTAACTACCCATGAGGAGGACTACAAAGAGTTGTCAGTTATTGCTTTAAGGGACAAAGGTCTCTAGGTAGGATTTGTCTTCTGCTAAGGCATTAAGGTAAACTGAGTCCCAGTGAACTTTCAAGTCTTTTTTTTTTTAAGGGCTCTAAGCAGGTCTGTGAGCTCTGAGGCTCCCCCTCCATGCTGTTGAAAGCGTGGGTGGGTGTCGGGGTGTCTGGCAGAGTGGGAGTGGAGGCTGGCCAGCTGGCTGGGCCACCCAACCCGGGGGAGGGGGCAGTGTTCTTCACAATCGCAGTCTCCAGTGATGAGCATCCCCTGTTGGGGCCTTCAGTGGCTCTTCTCAGCGGCTCATGCAGTTCTGGACATCCACAAAGCCTAGGCGTTGCCTGCGTTTCCGCTGCTCTGTCATCTAGGGTTAAGCAGATGCCAACAGGCCCGGTCAGGCCTCCTGGCACCTTCTCTCCATGGGTGCTGTGGAAGGGCTTGGCGCCCGTCTTCCTCTGTGGGCCCAGCTGCTATTCAGCACTGGCGGTGGGCCAGGGCCCCTCGGGGTACTTTAAGGATGTCGATGTCAGCACCAAACCCTTGTTCTCAATTAGCGTGTCACAAACCCCGGATCTGATGCAGCTGGGAAACCAGCCCACTAACAGGCTGCCTCATCTTCATGCAGGCACTGCCAGATGCAGAGGAGGATGTCTAGGCAAGAGGGCCTTAAACTCAGGAATCCCCTCAAAAGACCTGCCTGGCAGCTGCAAGAGGAAGGGGATGAGAGACAGAGGGCCCCACCACCCTGTACTAAGTTTCCACTTGGCCTTGTCTTTAACGGCCCAAGGCAGGGGTTGTCAACCCCAGTCTGACTTGCCATGTAGGGGAGAGTGGGTTTGGAACCTACCCTCTCATCCAGGGCCAGAGGCCAGTGGGGAAGAGGGTGGGGCAGGAAGGATGAAGGCAGGCAGGGGCTGCCCAGGGATAGAGCCCAGGGTGGGCCTGGGATCAAGCAGGGTGCATACCTGCTCCTTGAGCTCGTTGAGCTGGGCAGTGAGGTGGGACACCAGCTTCATGGTGGAGTTGAGCTTGTCCTGGAGAATCCGAATCTCATTCTGCTCCCCCTCGCCCTCGTTGCTGACAAGGGACATGGCCCGCATCCGGGGGAACCAGTCCAGGTTCTTGTTCTGAAAAACATCACCAGTGGGTGAGCAGGCATGGGCCCAGCCCAGAAAGGCCTCATTTAGAGTAATGTGGGGGGAGGCTTCTGCCACACCCTTGACAAAATTACTCGTCAGGGATGTGTCATGGGAAAATCTGAATTGACCTGGTCCTCCCTGGGGCCAGAGTGAGCTGGCAGTCAACCCTCTGTCAACCCTCTGCCACCGAGACAGGCTGACTTCCGTTAGACAGCGTCGGCAGCTGAGTTTGAGTCCTTCGCTGGTATCAGCACCATCTGTTTACTCTCATAACACCCCCTGAGAGGTGGAGGAAGGCCTCTGCACCCAGACAGACCCTGAATCTCCTTCCTTCCTTCCTCCTGCCCGCCTGCCTGACAAGCACGCCCCACGCCCCGGGAAGACACAAGTTAGACAGATGGCAAACGGAGGGAGCGGGAGGCTCCGCTGAGGAAAGCTGGCATCTGACACGTGTCTGGGAGGCAAAGCCACGTTTCCCAGGACAGAGGAGTGGGGAGGGAGGGGCACTAAGCAGTTCTCGGCTTCCTTGTGAGCTGTGAATCTCAGACCAGCAGATAAACCTGTACACAAAGATCAGCTCGAAATACAGACTTAAACGACAAAGAATTCCTTCTTTATGATTCATTGTCTTCACTCCATTATTACAGACATTGGACAGATGATATTTAAAGTTTTTCCAGGCTCCCCTTCAGCCCAGGACCATCTAATTCAGACTTTTTAGGAAGCAGCCTGCCTTCCCACCAAGCTAGAAAACACTCCCTGAGAGCGGCCCACAGATCACTGGCCAAGGCAGGATCTCCCCGACTCCACCCCGCCTCAGCATCACTGCACCACAGGCCCAGGGATACCACACGCGTTCTTCGGGGCTGATGGGTTTGCTGCGGGATTTTTCCTGAGACCCAGAAGTGGGAGGAGACCCCTCCACAGCAGCGGGCCCCCGGCAGGGCCCCCGTGCAGCCCAGAGCTGCTTCCAGCTGCTGCTCCTCGCCCTGCTGACCTTTCAGCAAGTGTCTGCAGCTGTCCAAGCCCCTCCCCTGGCCTCCCAGGGCCGACAGACAGATGTGGCCACTCCTCGCCAGAGCCCAGGGCACTCAGAAGCTAAAGCCATGAGGCCTCTGGTGCAAGTGATGTTGACTCGAGAATGGCTGGCTGGTTTGGGCCCACAGGCCCGGCGCAGCCCCTGCTCACACCTTGATCATCTGGGCCACGTAGCTCTCGGGGCCCGTGTAGTCGGTCTTGTTCTTCACTCGGACCAGGACAATGAAGTACAAGTAGTTCCACATGTTGTGCTCCAGCTTGATGTGTTCCTCAAATGACACCGTCTTGTTATCAAACTTGTCCCTCTCCAGACCTGAGGGTGCAGAGGGTGGGAATGAAACCATCAGCCATCAAGAGCCACTGCAGGGCCACCTGCTGGAGGGGACCCAGCTTGGGGGCGGGGAGGCATTTATTCTCAGGATGAGCGCTTCCAACAGCTTGCTCTGGGCTATTTGGGTCACTTCTATTTGAAGCAACAGCCACTTAGTGGAGATCCTGCCCTGCCGCAGCTGCAGCCCTCCCGCAGCGGAAACTGAGGACTCTAGTAGTAAACGCCAGAATTCCCCGAACTCAGGGGAAGCATGAATGGCTGAATAAGCGAGGTCCTACAGGCCATACAGGTGACATCTGCCTGAGCCCGAGGTGGCTGGTGAGGGGATTAGCACTTCGTTTCAGGGGTGGGAAAAGCACTGGACCGAGACTAGAAGCTCCAGGCACTGTCTGGGCTCAAGTCCTCGCCTAGAAACCCCAGGGGTTTACAGGGATGGCCCTGTCTCGCTCCCTTCTGACTCCAAGTTCAGGCAGGGTCATGTTCTCCCCAGTTCTGGGATAAGCAAATGCATCAAATCATCCGCCCCAGGGCAGGATTCCCCAGGGCAGGAGGGGCCAAACCGCCACTGCTGCTGGCATCAGATGATGTCCCAGCCCCGCTGCGGCCTCCGCAGAGCAGGAAGCAACCCTCACCACAGATGAAGCATGTCGTCTTGAGAATCTCCTCCTTCTTCTGCTTCTCACTACGCAGGTCAGCGAAGGTGTCGATGATTACCCCAAAGATGAGGTTCAGCACGATGATGATGACGATGAAGAAGAACAGGAGGTCATAGACCACTCTCGCTGGGAAGAGAGACTCCTGTGGGGGGTGAGGCAGGGAGGCTGGGCCCGGTGGTCCCCACATTCACCCGGGCAAGACAGGACTCAGGTGGGGGCCAGGGCTGTGATGAGGGCCTCTGGCTTAGGGGCTGTCAGATGGCAGAGTGGACCCAACCTGGCTCCAGAGCAAGAATTGCAAGCAAAAGCCCTGAGTTTGGGTTAGGAAAGCGTGGACTCAGGACACGCTGGGGTGAAGGCCTGCAGGAGTCAGGTGCGGGGAGGTAGGGCTACGAGTCTTGGTGTGTCTCTGCCCCAACATTGATTAGGGAAAGAGGCAGCTCTGAACACCTCTGCCCACCCTCAGGACGCCTGGCCACACGCATTCCAGAAACCCTGTCTGGCCAGGGAGGCGGCCTCTCACTCCTTCTCAGCAACAGCAGAAGGACTGGCATTCGGGAACATGGCTGCCCAAGCCGAATCATGAGGCCTCCTGATGAAGCTGATGAGCTCCGCCCTCTGCCCGCCTGCTGTGGGCTAGGAAAGCCAGTGGTCACTGTCCCTAGCCCTGGGGCAAAGTTTGGTTGCCAAAGTCTTTCCTTATGGAATGAGGGGGTGAGGGGGCAGCTGAGCAGTAATGTCATGGAATTGGCCGGGTGTGGAAAGCAGAGAAAAGGGGATACAAGTTCGGGGGAGGGGGTTCAACCCTGAATATCTGATGCGAGGCCAAGGACTCTCCACATTTGCTGATCGGTACAGTGGCTTGGGCCCCGCAGGTTTGGGAGCGGGCAGGAGTGCTCACATCTTTGGAGGGCTTGCGGAGAATGTCGCCTACACCACCACCGTTGCGTAGCCCATGGTTCATGACAGTGACGATGCACATCAGCAGAGTGTCACAGGCCCGCTCTGTGCTGTCCAGCTCCCCATCCTCTGCAGGCAGAGTGTGCTCAGGCCCAGGCTGTCAGCTCCTCCCTCCCCACCCAGACTCCCACACACACACCACCCTCACCTTCCAGGACCTCGGGCACCGAGACCCCTGAGACACAGTCCATCTTGTCCCCACTGCAGGTGTCCACAAATGCAGCAGCTCCATGTGGCATCCCCAGGGGGCTGGCTGGAGGGGACATGGATGAGGTCACCAGGAGGTCCAGTCCCTGGCCTTATCATCCCCTGGCTCTGTCCCTAGCGTCACATCCTCCAGGAAACCTTCCCTGATCCTGCCAGCCCTCCACTGTCTGGCCACAGTGAAAGGTCATCACGCCTCTGCCCCCCACTGGGTTGCACACTAAGGGCAGGGAGGGGTCTCTGTACCCCTAGGCCTGGCATACGGGCAGCTTCTGCAAATACTGGGTTTAACATGAATGACAGTGCAAGGAGCTCCAGCCCTCAAGCAAGGGGTTCCTTAGGGGCCAGAGACCCAAGGCTCTCCCACCCACTCAGTGTGTTCCAGAAAAGAGCGAGGCAGACTGGTGTGAGCTAGACGTCCCCAGAAGCCAAGAGGAGAAGCAGACGGGAGCCTGGTGAGGTAAGCGCTGCAGGTCCTGGTCCTGATGCCAGACACTTGTGAGACCCAACCTCATTCCCCACAACCTGCCCAGGAGAGGAAGCCTCCAAGACCTGTGGAGTGGTTGTTGGGCAGTCGGTCGACCTCAAGGATGAAGTCATCCTTGAGGAAGAGGAAGCCAACGATGGAGAAGAGGTAGACCAGGATGAGGGCCAGCAGGGCTGTCAGCAGGATGGAGCGGCCATTGCGGGTCACACTCTTGATGACGTTGAACAGGGTCTCCTCGCGGTAGATGAGGTCAAAGAGCTGCAGGATGGGGTTGAGATAGGGATGGCGCCTTGAGGGGCTGGGCCAGCCAATCTCGCTGGGGATGCCACTGGAACCCTGAGGGCTGCCCGGGCTCCAGAGTTTCCCAAGGCTCCTCTAGGGAGGTCTCTGCACTTAGTCAGGAGTAACCAAGCTGGGTGGGTCTGTCAGGGGAGCTTCTCAAAGAACCTGGAATTCTAGGGTCACAGAAAGGGAGTGGCCCAGGGGAAGGCACGAGGGGTGAAACGGGTGGCTGAATACCAGCCAACTCTTACAATGCCCTTGCTACATGCCAGGAAACAGTATAAGTGCTTTCCATGCATTAGCTCATTTCATCTCACAATTATTTTAGAAGGCGGGGGCTGTTGTAATCACCATTTTACAGGTGAGGAAACTGAGGCATGGGGCAGTTAAGAAACTTGCCCAGTTACACAGCTAGTAGTAGCCCAGCTGAGATGCAAACCCCTGGTCCAGCTCCAGAGTCCAGGCTTGAACCACCACTGTACAGGAGAAAGGGGTCAGATGGCCACCAGGAGTGGCCATCAGGGCCTTGAGGGCCAGGCTTGGGTAAGGCAGAGGAAGACTGAAATCTCACTGCTCCCAGTCCAGCAGCAAAAGGACTGGACAGAGAGACTGGTGACAGGGAACTGCCAACAACTCACGGGAAGCCTCAACCACCTCATGCCCCCATCCAGCCCCAGCCCACCCAGAAGGCCTCACCAGGATGCTGTAGAACAGCTCATGAGCAAAGAGGCCCAGGACACTGGTCAGGATGTAGCCCACGTGGTAGAGGAATTCCATGTCCATGACCATGGCCTTATAGCCCCGGATGAAGGTGCCACGGTTGCCCACGAAGCTCACCACAAACACGATCTTATTGGTCAGCTGGGGGCGAGTGCAAGGCATGAGGGTCAGTACCCTACCACCTACCCTGAATCTGCACACATGCCTCCCCAGTGCCCAGCTCAGAGCCTGGGAGGCACGGCATTAACGAAATTGCTTCCAGAAATACATCTGGGCGCCTGGGACTCAGGATACAGAAGCAGCCCCTTGGGTCCTCAGTTCCAGGAAGACAGTGACGTATAGGCAAAGGAGGATGGGGACAGAGAAGACCACTGACTGGGTCTATCAGGCAAAGGTGTTGCTTGCTCAAAGCACTTTATTTCCAACTGTCAGGAGATTGTCATTATATATGAATCTTCACATCTGCCGCGTAGCAGTGCCCCTGGGCAGTGCACAGCCAGCAGTGTGCACAGCCACCCTGACCCTGTTGTTCCAAAGGGACTCTTGAATTTCTGTCTCTGGGTGCCAGCTGCCCTCAGATGTTGAGGGAGAGGAAGAAGGCACACAACAGTCCCTGCCATCGGTCTATAAGGAACTTGGGAGCCCAACAGAGAGGAGGAGATGGGACGGAGCAGGGGCTTCTGGAAGCAGCAGGCCAGCTTGCCGTCTGAATGCAGTGAGCATGAGCTTGTTTGGGAATGGGGGCTCCCTCTGGCACTCACATTGAGGGCACCCAGGATGTTGAGCGTGGGCCCGATGCCCAGATAGTAGATGGAGCGTAGGATGAGCGCCACGATGAGGGGGCGAATGCTGTAGCGCTTGGTGAACAGGGCCGCGATGGAGAAGCAGATGAGGATCCAGAACAGCAGTGAGATGAGAGGGGAGT